TGGGAATTTTGGGGATAGGCTGGATATGGTAAGTGGAGGTGGATGGGTAGGTGTGGTATTTTGGTGGTGACTTCGCTCCCTGTGCGATCATCACGGCACTTACATCTTTCTTCTTGGAAGCGCCACCAGTTTGTAAAGCTTTATTGGTGGCTTGCAATGCTTCAAGATTTGTTACCATACCATTCTTGATGCCCTCTTCAATCCTTTCTCCGAGTTTGATGATATCAGAGAACTTTTGACCCTCGATCAGCATCAACCTTTCATAATATTGGGGATCCTGAGCCCGGACGAAGAACCTATTCATTTGTTCTTCTTCCAGGGCCGGCCTGACCTTGGCTGCTTCTGACCTCCAACGAGTAGCATACTCGCGGAATGTTTCGGTGGGCTTCTTCTTCAAATTTTGTATGTAGAACACATCCGGGGCGTTCTCAGTATTGAACCGGAATCTATCCATGAAGTCCGATGCCATGCTTACCCAACTTGTCCATTTCATGGGGTCCTGACTGATATACCAGGATAGTGCATCTCCCTTTAAGCTCCTCATGAAGAGCTTCATGCGGATTTTCTCATCTCTTCCAACCCAACTAACTTGTCGCAATAGGTCCTCAGGTGAACTCTGGGATCTCCGGATCCATCAAACATTTCGAACTTGGGAGGTTTGTACCCCTCCGGAAGTTCAACATCTGGTTGAATGCACAAGTCTTCATAGTTCAGCCCCTCAATGCCTTTGCTACCTTCGACACCCTGGACTCGACTGGTTAACTTCTTGAGCTCGGCTGCCAAGTTCCTGATGAGGGAGTCTTTGTCATCAGACTCAGGTGCATTTGAGATCGGTTGGGTGTAGTGAGGTACAGTTTCCACAAAGATAGGAGTGTTATGGAGGTGGTCGTTTATGGTGTTTGGTGGCTCGGGAATGAGCAATGGAGTGTTGTTGCATGTGTTGCAGGTTTGGACGTGAGCAGGCTGTATTTGTGGTTGCAGGGTGTTTTGTGGAGGTGCGGGATTCTGGGTGTTGACATCAGGAGCGGCAAGAGAGAATGATAGGCTTGCCAAGTTCCGAACTTGGTCCAACTCTTCCTGGAATTTCAGCAATTTTTGTTCATGATGAGCAGTAGTTCCCTTAGCAATTGGGTACCCTGAGAAGTTTCCTCTCTTTCAATCTCCTTTCTAGCACTTGTGTTTTCCATTTTTCCTTTGTTCTTGTTCCGGACAGGACTTGGAGGTGGAGGCGGTGGAGGGCCCTTGGATCTTGTGGAGTATGCTGATGGTGCCAGAATGCATGAACTAACCTTTGGGGAGGGGAATAAGAAATAAAAGAAAAACAAAAAAAAAGGTAACAAGTTAGTGCGGGTTTTGAGAAAAAATGTTGCTGTATTTAAACACATTGTGCGAGAATATAAATCACGTCCTAATTTTGGGTGCCTCGTTGTGCCCGAGGTAGGCCTAGCGATAAATAGTTTTGGAGAACTTATAATGCTAAATGCCTCATTTTATTGATAAAAATAAGACGAATCCAAAACGACTCTAATTAATAGAAAGTAAAATGTCACTATTGGCCATTGGCCTTATTACATAAAAATAAAGAATAAAAAGAC